TTTAAAATTCTACCTAATGTGTCTTGGCACTGGAAATACTTTGCTTGAGATTTTAATACTGATTAAGAGAGGAAAACTTCTGCTTAAGCACCACTAACTTAAAAACTGTAATTTGATCTCTTTCTGCATCTTTTGAATCTAGGAAAAAAAGAAATTCTCCAAATTATGATGTGGCACATGGTTTCACAGTTTAAAATAAAATCACAGCTGTCTCATTATGCAACACACTCTTTGGTTTTGCAGAAAGCTGTTCTTTTTTTTTCCCCCTTATTCACCAACGTCTCAAGTATGTAATGCTATGTGCTTTGCTAGTTTGTATTATATTTCAGATACACACACAAAAATCACATATGACTAATTCCTAGATGACCTAGGATAATATTCATGTATCCATATACATTATGTCATCTATTCTGGATAATTTAAAAATTGTTAGTCTGACTCTTTTTAAAGCTGATCATTTTAAAAAGTGTAGAAAAGTTGAAAATCCTAAGTTTCTCACCAATATTTCTAAGTATTTTAGAGACAGTTGTGGTCTGGGGGACTTTTCTTTATGATTTTTATGTCAGCAAGGAAATTTTTTTGGCTAATAGTTAAAGATACTAAAATGCATACTATCTTTGAATGTATCACATCTATCATCAGAATGACTTCCCATTGATACAGTTGTCCTATGTATAGCAGATCCCCAAAACAGTAATTTTATGGATGTCACTGAAAAGGTCTCTGCCCATAGTAAAATTAAAGAATAGAGGGGCACATCAACAAATGTCAGACACAAGTTGGGCAGCTCAATTACTTAATTTGTCCCAAAACAAAAGCTGACTTAAGTCAGAATGAACTCGTACACTTGACAGAAAGAAAGGAGTTTATCTACTAATTTTTAAAATGTAAACAAATTTTATATAGGGATGTAACTATCTGAATACATATATTGCCATTTCTCTGCTATATAGTAACATTTCTTGACACCAATGGTAACCTGTTTGTTCCTCCCTCAGCACCAAATGTGTCCATATCTATTTAAACAGTAGGAGCTTCATTTCTAAAGTGATCTATGCTAGGACATATATAAGCTAGTTATTATTACGGTTCACTAAAGTTTTAGAACTTTAGAAAATTCTCAGTTTAAAATAATTTTGACTCATTCCTCGAATTTTTTTTTCCTTTTGCACTATAATTTCAGAAGAAGCATAAGAAATTTGGATTTCTCTGAAAGAGCCAAGTGTGCAATTACAGAGGTGAAACACTGTTAGTTCACAAAGTAATGTGAATAATAATATTAAAAATTTCCCAAATAATGCCGATTGAAATGTTCAAAATCCAGTTATGTGCTTTGTTACAAAACAGTCCAAACAAAAATTCTTTTGTTGTTTTCTGTTCTCTCTTTCAAAATACATAAATCCTACTGAAGTTAATCTATTTTTTTTCCACTTCAGAACACCAGGCACTGATATATCCTTTGGGAGTTTTGGCTTGCTTTCTAATACCTAGATTAAGAAAACAAAATAAAACAAGTTATTAACCTGATAATACTCTGAATGAGTATAGTAGAAAAGTTTAAAGTCACCTTTAAAAAAAAAAAAAATATATATATATATATACACACACATATATATATATGACAATTTCCTTCCACCTATGCAACAGTCACCTTCTGAAATTATCCATTAATACATTATTTAATACATGATTTGAAGATAGTGACTATGTCAATAGGAGAAAGTTTATGCCTGATACCTACAAATTTGATGTTTAGAGTCAAAAGAAACACCCTCTGAAACATGTAAGAGTAAAGCAGGGTTTACAGGACCACCAGGCCTGGACAAGTGAGTTCACTCTATGCAGCTAGTGTGGCCGGCCCAGCAAAAAGCAGGTTCATGACCTCCATACTGTCCTGCATTGGTTGTTTCCCAGCAAGGTTCTGGATGTAGAATGTTACACTAATAGGCCAAGGCTGGGTCAAAGCCAGTAATCAAATACTGTATTTATATTGTGGTCACAGAACCCTGTGTACATGAAATAAGAATCACTTAGTCCAGATTATAAACCATCAGTTTCCAAATAATTTCTGTGAATTTATTCCCAAGTAGTTTCTGTGAAAAAAGAACTTAATGATGGTATCTTAGAACTGAACTGGGCCACAGAGTCACCCAGGTCATTCATTGGGTTTACAGTAAGGAAAATGAGAGAGGGGATACACCCAAGGCACACACTTTCTTACTGGGTGTTTTTACACACCGATACCTAGTGGCTCAGATGGTAAAGAATCTGCCTGCAATGCAGGAGACCCAGGTTCAGTTTTTAGGTCAGGAAGATCCCCTGGAGAAGGAAATGGCAACCCACTCCAGAATTTTTGCCCCTGGGAAATCCGATGGACAGAGGAGCCTGGTGGGCTACAGTCCACGGGGTCACAAAGAGTCAGACACACAGAGAACGCTCTCAGATATTTGATTAGCGTGAAAAACAACCAGTGAACTAAGAGATGATATGTCTTTAAGAGGTTTTTTTTTAATTACAATAACATTACCAAGGGAATCACACACACTGCTGCTTAGAGAGTCACTGAGCGACCACGTGGCTTTAGGCAAGATACACACCTTGCTCAGGAAACCTCAGGGACTCCCCGTGGTCACCAGGATGAAGTTCAGACTTTGCAGCTTGCTCTTTAGTGCTCACTTTGATCTTGTCCCAACTTTTCCATTCTTTTTGCCCATGAAATTCATGCCTTAGCCAAGCTAACTTGCTTTTCCAAACAGGCCCTGCAATTTCTTCTTGCCATGTAGTTGCGAGTGATGTTGACTTCTCCTAGCATGGCCCTCCTTACGGTCCTCCTCAGCCCTCAAGGCCCAATTCATGTGCTGTCCTAAAGCCACAGCCAGAGAAAATTTCTCCTTCCCCTGAACTCTGATCCCTATCAAGGGAGGTGGAACTGAGAGTCAAAATATAAGAGGCGAGCATCATTCTCCTGAAGGTAGGGGTTTAAGTCAAGGTTTTTGTACTTCTCCCATTATTTTTCACTCATAGATATGTATGAGATTGTTATTTAATTACAAAGCACTACCTATGGGTCCTTTCACTTTTGCATATTTTCATCTGATCCGTATTGGTCATTAAAGTTTTTCATCAACCACTCTTATAATTTACAGTCAGTGACAACTGGCTAAAATAAAAAAAGAGAAAGAAACTCTCTTCTGGAACAGAGTAACAGTTTTTATTTGCTCTAAATGTCTGTCAATATCCAACCCAATGGATTCTACTGATGATGAACAAGCAAGTCACTTCCTATACAACAGCAGAATCACCTCTCAGACTTTTTCCTCACAGGAGGTCAGCAGTTGTACCTGAGAGTCACTTAGCTTATCATTGCAGAGGTCCTCCTGTTTCTAATGCATTTTATTTTAGCACCCCCCCATGGAATTTAAATATTGTATCAAAAATTAAAGTGCCAGTGAATAAATAAGGAGTGAATAAATTATGGAATTATAAAAATTAAGAGAAATTAATAATTTTAAATTAAGTTATATTCCTTTTCTGGGGATTTTCAGTTATACTGTGATCAATTACACAGTGTAGGCCATAAACCCAGCCAGGTTTTCTGCATTCCAGGCATGTTCAGAAGAATTTGTTTGATAATCTTCTTTCAGTCCTACGCCTCTGTCATAGACTACATGTGTCTCTAATGCTATGATGACACTTAAAAAACACAGGTTTGCTCCTTCGTGGAAATAAGGAAAAGGTTCCTCTCCAAGGTGAATGTAGCCCAGTCCACAGTGCCCAGCATGGGCTGCCTTAAGCTCCACCTTTCCCCTGGCTACTAGCCCCCTAGTAGTTGGCAAAATGTGCACAGCCAGATAGGTTCCCGTGGAGTTCAGAAAGCCCACAAGCTACAGGTTCATGTGCAGTGATCATGGCCCTGGTTTGTATAACGGAAAAATTTCTGTTAAGTTTCCAGTGTGGTTCTGTCAGACACCTTTCTACTAACTCGTGCCTCTCTCACATCGCAGCAAACCTGGCTTGTGTTTAGTATCACGCTCATGGTATTCTTACTGTTGGGAAGGCAGCCCTCCCCGGTGGCATATGTAGTTAGAATCTGTAACCCAGCATCACTAGGGCAGGCAGTGCCACGGGTCAGGGTGGGACAGAGACACAAGAAGGTAAAACTGTGCAACCTTCTTTAATTACTCTCATCAAAGCACCATGTCTGTAATAACTGCTGGGACTCCTTCTAAAATTTCATCCAAAGAAGGGGTTTAGGACTAGAAAAATTATGAAGGCATCTCCACACAGCCCTTCTTTTGCAAGGTATTTCCCTATTACTTGTGTTTGAAGAACTCAAATATGTGGAATTTTGATTTCTACAGAACAGGTGGTCTGACCAGTTGTGTACTTTAAGGCAGTGACTTTCAAATTGTATTTTGAAGAACTCTAGGAATTTTTTCAGGGCTCCATCATGGACTATGAGGAAGACGCCAGAAACCCAAGTCTTTGGGCTCTCACAAGGTTACCCACACTGCATACTGCATATTTTACAGGTTCAGCTGCAACACAGGCTTTGTGGGTAAATAAAGGTGTTCTGTCTCTTGTCTTAAAAGCTAAGTTTCAGGATGATTAAAAACCTGAGCATATCTCCTCCTCCATTCTCTTATTGTTTTTGTTTAGTCCCTAGGTTGTATCTATCTCTTTTGTAATCCCATGGACTATATAGCTCACTAGGCTCCTCTGTCCATGGGATCTCCCAGTCAACAATACTGGAAATGGGGTGCCATTTCCCTCTCCAGGGGATCTTCCAGGGATCAAATCTGCGACTTTGTTTTCTAGCATTATCAAAAAAGGGTCAGCTCCAATTATATGATAGTGCAGACTCTCTTATCACTTTCTACCTTTGACCTATTTTACAAGGAAGCTGCAGTAGTAGTGAAAACAGATGTACGTGTAAAATGCCTACCAGTGAACTAAAATTCATCGTCAAGAGAATTACTTAGCCAGGCAAATGGGACTCACGGTGAAATTGTGCAGCCCGAGGCATACGCGTGATGTCCTGTGTAACGAATTTCACAGCGGACGACATTGTTGGAATAGTCCGACTCAGGCACCAGATAGCTGGGATTCACACTGACCTAGGCAAAAAAAAGCATCATCTGTGTTTCAGATTTCATCAGCAGTGTTTACTGGTTAATTTTTTTCCTATTTCCAGAATGGAGGCTAAAATAGAGGCAGCATAATTCAACTAAATCAGGCAAGGAAGAGGGTGTAAGTTAGGCATGTGGTTCAACTCTGGAGAAGTTTTTGAAGGAGGCTGTATCTTTTTCCATAAAGTTTTTTCAAATAAGAATTTTTAAAATATATCTAGGTTGGTTTAGAAGTAGTTGTAGAAGATGTATAATTGCTTGCAGGACCACGAATATTTAACATTTGACTCCAGAGAACAAGCCCACCAAGTTACAATTGAAATACATTATGGGTATATAGTCAAAGTTCTCTACCTTGAGAATATAGTTTCCAGGTTTGACATCAGTGATATCAATCCACTGGCAGTCTATGTCGGCATTATAGGTATCATAGCAGCCAGGACTCAAGCCCTGAAACAAATAAAATTCAAAAATTAAAAGGATGGTACATGGTTAGAATGTGCTAAAGAATATGCTTATTATTTGCAAATTAAATTTTAATTAGTACTTACAAGAGTTTGACATAAAACTATACTTATATTGCATCTCCTTTGAGAAGTATATATTACTCAGCCTTATAGCACCTCCAGCTAAAAAAAATACAGGACTAATATAAGTAGTAGTACATCTCGCTTGAAAGTGTAATAAATCACTAGTGATAAATACAATCTTAAGTGACAAAATAGGCCTCCACCAAAATCCTTGAATATTACCAGTTCAGGAATAAAGGCCACATAATAATCAATTTAGCTCAAATGTCTTGTTATCAATGGAACTCTCTCCAATTTCTGTTCTTGGAAATTACCTTCCTATACTCTGAAAGCCCATGATACTCAGTTTGTGTATACATTTTGCGCTATTTATCCTTCTATTCTGTATATTAAAATCATCCTATATAAGAATGAATCTGCTAGAGACTGTAAGCTCCTTAAGGGTGGGGTCTTACTGCACTGTTGAATAGTTAACACTTGTGAAGTATGTATTATGTGCCAGGAGCAATTTTAAGCATGTTATATATACAAATTTAATTCTCACAACTACACAAGGGAGGAGGTAGTATTAATGCATTTTATGAATGAAGAAACTAAGGCTGTTTAAGGTCAAATAGCTCATACAAGAATAAACAGCTGGTAAGTGGCTGAGCTGGTTTTGAGTTTAGGCATTTGGGGTCCAGGGTCCCTGTTTGTAACCACCACGCTGTAATCTTTCTCACATCATCACTGAATATTTTGTTGTTGTGTTAAAGGGATGAATGCCACGTCAACTCTACTTGCTCAGATACTCACTTCAGTAGTAAATGAGTGCCTTCTAGCGGCTGAGAGGAGAAAAACACCACTGACATGGTCCTTGCCCTCCAGCAAGTTAGCCTGGAGAAATTTGCTCAAATTGGAATCCATAGGTATATTCTTGATTCCGCTGGTTCTTTATCAAAAGTTTTCACTGTTGTATTTTCATTCTAATACTAATCAAAGTAAATTTAAAAGAATAGGCTGCTGTCATTTAAACTCAGTTTGTTTGGTGCTTAAGATCACCTTGGCCTCCAGAGAGAGGGCAGAATCATCTGGAACATGCTGTACCCGTGCTGGTTTGCCTGTGGCTCGATTCGGGAAGATGGGGAAGAACGGGGGAGCACTGTGTTCTCATACGGTACACAATAGTACAGACAGGCAAACTCAGAAAGGACCTGTGCCACTGCAGTGAGAACTGTTTTCCCCTGCTGGTCCATACCAACCTGTAACCTTATGCTGAGCAGTCAATATATTGTGAAGAATCTTCAGTTTCTGGTTTCCAGCACATAATTCTTATTCTGGCACAGAGTATATACTCAGTGTTAGCTATGATTGTTGCTACTTCTACTACTAGTAGCACCTTCATGGCGCTGTAAGGAATTCACTGAATTAGATACCTGCTTATCTTACCTTCAAGTGAACAAGAGCACTTTAAAGAATGCTGATATTGGCACTCTACCTTACTCAGATGGCAGAATTTAAGTATAAGTTTTGATTATTTGAACTGGCAAACAAAAAAACGGGTTTTTCACGGCAGTAAGCAAACAGGCATTTCCTGTATTCAAACTTTAAAAACTTAAAAAATGTAGAACCACAGCCAAGACTATATAAATTAACTATTTGGTTTTAGCCAAATGTAACTATTACATAAATGAATGAGGTGAATGTAATTTCTAGCTTCATATATATTTAATACACAAATTCTTTGCAACCCCATGGATTATACAGTCCATGGAATTCTCCAGTCCAGAATACTGGAGTGGGTAGCCTTTCCCTTCTGCAGGGGATCTTCTCAACTCAGGGATCAAACCCAGGTCTCCCACATTACAGGCGGATACTTTACCAACTGAGGGAAGGGAAGCCCAAGAATTTATATGAGAGTATAAATATAAAGAAGTTATATCTAGTTTTATATTTGGATATATTTAAAAGGGTTATAATATAACTAAGTCAACAGTGGAGCTTTGTGAGAATTTTTTTTCCCTTTAAAGGAAGCACATGTTCAAGAGACAACCAGTGGAGTGAAAAACACAAATACCTTAGTCATTTGTAGTGTAAAATCTAGTGAATAGTGGTTAAATAGGATATACATGGAGGATAATTAATAAGAAAGCTACCACATAAAATGTAGTAGGATCACCCACCAAGGAGTTTGGGGATTCACATGCTATAAATGCCTATAGTTTTAGATTCAAATATTTCAGCATTGAGCTGTTCAGAGTGCCTCTTCTTCTAAGTGAAGAGAGTAAACTCGAGGTACCCTGCGCTGTCAGGTTCTGTGGGACTTGGGGATCACTGTGTGAAAAGGGAACCTCTACACAAACACACGTGTAATGTGAGGTCACATCTTTTACTTAGAGTAAGCGCTGCCCAGGGTGAGAGGAACTGACCCTTTCGCCTTCCAATTGCTATGATGTTTTAAGCCCATAGAAAGAAGCAATGATAATATTTAGGTCACCAGAAAGCTTCCTGCCACAGCCCTCGAATTTGCTTCCCAAGATGCCAGCTGCTGATCCTTTGTGCCCTGAGTTACGTATATTCACTACTCCCTGCCAAGATTTCTGCTGGAGTAAAATTATAATGTCCTTTTACAAATTAGGGTTTCTTATGGAAATACTGGCGCGGCTTTTAACTGACACACATTTTCCCATTATAAGACATACAAACTGCTTAGCACAGCACTATTTTTAAAAATCCATCCAAAGGACATCTGACATCAATTATACCGTAAGTTTAAATATATATGCATGGAGAAAGAAACTGTCCTTCTGCTCTTCTCTGCATGATTAAAAGAGACGTTTTTTAAGTGCTTTTTAAGAAACTTATTTCTATCCTTTTGCTAACGCCAACCACCATTCTAGTTTTAGCTCAGATGGAGAGATAGTTTTGCAGGTGACAAAACATATCTCTTCTACAGTTACTTCCCAGTTGAATCAAAGAATACAGGATGAGTGCAAAAATGGGAAACCTTTCCGATCTTTTCAGATTATAGACTACTGCTCTTCATTGTGGGACACAGCAAGTATGCACCTTGACCTTCTGTGATGATGGAATACTTTTTAAAAGTAATTTGGATCATTGAGCCATCACTTTCCTTTTCCCAATAATTTACCATTTGAACTAGATGAGCCCCTGAGCAAAGTAGTTTTTCACAAAGATGGGCGGGACGAAAGAAAATAGATGGCGTCTTCTCTCTGAAGCGTGTGGGTTCCTGGCTCCAGGCTGCCACCCTACCTGTGTGTGTGCAGTACATGCAAACCGCCTGTGGTAGCCGTAGTCACACGATGTGTCCTCAAGACAGAAACTCGCCTTGTGGCCCTCAGCCACTCTCCTCTGGGTGCTGGCGTCAAGCAGGTCATAGTGGCTGAATTCATCCATGCTGTGGTAATGTCTGATGTCCACACGACACAGAGACAGCAGTCAGTACTACACAGAGACAGCAGTGAGGGTTCTAGATAACCCCCGCCCCCGCCTCCACTGCTTCCCACATTCGTTTTCGCATCAAAATCAGGATCAAGTTGACCTTCTTAAAGCTAGATTCATGCTAGATTTTTTTTCTTCCAGGACAAAAATCTATCAAAATGGTAAGGCTTTAACTTTGGTATGAGGAAAAAAAGACTTATTTTGAGTATTCTGCTTTTTCACTTCACCCTGTTTCATCTTTGAAGATTAAAACAGAGATAGATAGTAAATTATCTTTGTTTAAGTGAAACTTGTCATATGTTCTCTAGTATATCTCTTTTGGCTGCTGCTACTGATGTTTCATTCCAAAAGAGAAGAGCACTTTTCTCTTGGGAGGTTTCTGTGAAATTTTTAAAAACTGTATTCTCACACATTTTAATCCATACTAAAATGCAAAGGAGAAATAAAAGCATGTTTTATCCACCATTCTTATTTAACTAGTATAAACTTTTATTTATAAATCTACTTTATCAGCAAAGTAGTTGCTCACATTTATTTTTTTTTTCATTTCATTTAAGTGAAGGTGCTGAACTGTTCATTTTCTCACATAAGAAAAGGACAAAAAGTAATGGCTCAAACTGTAGAAATTTTAAGAACATAGAACAGGATTTCCTGGCAATGAACACTGAAGCAAGTTACCAAGTCATACTGTAGAATTGGTGGTGGTGGTGTAGTTGCTAAGACGTGTCCAACTCTTTGCGACACCATGGACTGCGACCCTCCAGTTTCCTCTGTCCATAGGATTTCCCAGGCAAGAACACTGGAGTGGGTTGCCATTTCCTTCTCCAGAGGATCTTCACAACCCAGGGATTCAGCCCATGTCTCCTGCATTGCAGGTAGATTCTCTACCACTGACCACCAGGAAAGCCCTAGCTGTAGTATACTGGGATAAAATTCTAGTGAAGCTAACTGATGTAATCTTATCAGCAGTTTTAATAAGCTGGGCTTGAAAGAGTTTCCAGTTTAAAAGATAACTATATAGTAACTGATGTATTATCCTAAAGATAGATTTCCTTGAATATGTCAAATTATATAGAGAAATTCTAAGTGTAAATAATAGCAATTTTCTCCCTTTGTGTAGGAATTTGTCATATCAAGAATCACCTATAATTTAGAAAATGAACTTACGGTTGCCAGGGGAGGAAGGGATAGTTAGGGAGTTTGGGATGGTCATGTACACACTGCTATATTTAAAATGGATGACCAACAAGGACCTGTTGTATAGCACATGGAACTCTGCTCAATAGTATGTGGCAGCCTGGATAGGAGGGGCTTTGGGGGCAGAATAGATACATGTGTATGTATGGCTGAGTCCCTTCGCTATTTACCTGAAACTGTCACAACATTGTTAATCGGCTATACCCTACTACAAAATAAAAAGTTCAAAAAGTTAACTCTTAAAAAAACATAAAAAGAATCACCTGTAAAGTGAAAAAAGCAACTCAAAAGTACCCAAGAGTCCCATCACTTACTGGTGACAACTGTGCCATTCCCAGGAATATCTTGGTCGACTTGGTAGGAAATCAGATGTCCCTTGGTTTTTCACCCTCTGGGGAAATCTTAGCAGCACCCTGTGATCATAATCTCTGACATCTGCCCTGTATGCTGTGCTGTGATTTTACAGAGAGAAACATTATGATTTTCACAGAATATGAACTAAAGGCAAAACTACAAGCAAAACCTTCCAAGAGTTCACTGCCCTCTTCTCCCAATAAGGTTATCAGTTCCAAAAGACTAGAGCATTTTGCATACATTTTTTTCTCACCCAGTTAAAGAAGATGTAAATTGGGGAAATAACCCTGAAAGAGTATACCCAGATAAGATAAACAATTTAGTAACTCTTTAAAGCAATGGCATTACTGTAAGACTACCATAGGGAATGCAGTGGTGTGTGATGCAAGACTCTAGTGGAATGAAAATGATAAGCTTGGATTTCTCTTCTTTCAGTCTAACAGTTATAAAGGAAGTGGAAGAAATTGACACAATAAATAAACATTTCTCTGTGTCTTGTAAAATATTTTGTGTGACTATATATTCAAATACTATCGATGACCTTATTTTACATTTAAAAAAATTGTGTGTCTTATCAAAACATCTTTTACTCCCTCTGCTGGTTTCCCAGCAGCAAACTCAGGGAATTCCATTCCCCAAATTGCTAAGATTTTATTTTAGGACTAATGCAAAAACAAAGCTCTTGCTCCTGATCTTATTCTGGCTAAAGTAATGCCAAAACAACTAAGTTAATTGTGACTTCAAACAAAAGAAGAAAACAATGACATCCAACGCAGGGGTGCCACACTGGCAAAGTGGCCCCCAATGTTCTGAGGGGGTTTTAACAAGCTCTTCCATTACAGTATTTTTTCCATGGTATAGTAGTTTAATAGAACGTCATTGGAAACAGTTGGCTCCAAAGTTTAAGGATCTTGGAAAAAGAATAGGAGACCTCCACTCTCCAGGCTAAGGGTTTGCTTAATCTCCCTGACTTATGCCACGGTTTGAAACCACAGAACCCACAGAAATCTTCCAAATTTTAATTCTCCACCCAGGTCAGCATGCCCGAGAGATCATGTTCCACTTCCCAACCCTTGTCTGCACAGAACAAGAGTGGTCAGGACCAAACACCTGAGGAGGCCCCCCTGGAACCAAGACGGGGGAGCTAGGCCAAGGAGATCCCCGCTGGTACCTGGCCAAGCAGTTTTCCTCCGCAGCGCATCTCAGGTTGTACATGGCCATCTTTTGCACGTATGTGGACGCCTGGATGTAGTAGGGATCAGGCACCAGGTCCGGAAGACCTAAACGTCAGCAGGCGATGGGCAAAGCAGTGAGACAATTTAGCAGCCCCCACCCTGGCTCCGGGTCCCTCATGTGCCTTACTCCTCACCCTTCAGTCAACTGGACTGCGGTGTTGGGCAGCGGGTAGCAGAAGAATGGGGGCGCCCGGGGCTGCAAAGTAAAGTGGAAATGAAGCAGGAGGGGCCAGGCGCGCGCGGTTTGCACCAAATTCCAGGGCTGCCTCAGCCGGCGCAGGGGGAGGGATGGGATCTGCACGGACCAAGGCCTGCCGCGCCCAGGCAGCCACGTCGGGGAGACACAGAGCTGGGGAAACGGTGCGCGGGAGTTAGCGGAGAATTGGGGGAGCTTACCATACTGGAAGTAGCCGGTGCCATATCCGGGCCGGTACCTGCTCCCAGGTCTGGGCCTTTCGTACGTGTCGTAATAGTTGTAATAGGGGTTGTCGTCGGTGTACTTATAGGGGTTGTACGGATCGTCGCCCACCATGCCGTCCACGTCCACGCGGTTGGGCGGTCGCAGGTTACTGAGCGTCGGGACCTCTCCCGGTGCCGTCTGGTTATCAGCGCGCGAGGTCCCAGCGTCTTGGGCCCCAGACGTCGAGTAGCCAGCTTGGAACCAGTGGCGGGCGGCGGGCCTGGGGCGGCCAGCTGCGGCTGCGGCTGCAGAGGGGCCGGCCGTCCGCACTCGCGCCGCGGCGGTGCGGTTGTTGCGGAGCAGCAGGATTGGCGTGCGCATCTGCGGGGCGGTGGCGTTGGCGGCCCCCGGGGCGGTGGCGCTGGGGTCCCGTCGCCGTTGCGGCTGGTACTGCGAGCCCAGGCTCAGTAGGCTGAACACCTGCCCGTTGTTCTCCCATTGGATCTTCTGGCGCCAGGCGCCGGGAGCCGCCGCCTGTTCGCGAGGGGGCTGCCGGTGGCTGGCGGCCGGCGGGGCGCAGCGCACGAGTGCGCAGAGCTGCAGCGACCCGAGGAGTGCGGTCCAGGCGAAGCGCATCGCTCCCTTTCCTGGACTGTCCCCACTCCGGGAAGACGTAGCTCGGAGGGGGGGAAAAAAAAACAAAACGGGGCTCTAGTCACGTGAGGGAGGGAGACCTCTTCAATCGAGGAGGCGGGCTGGGCGCCCGGGTATCTCAGTCCCTACCAAGCAATGTCTAGGGTGGGCTGCAGACCCTCTTCAGTAAAGGCGGCTGGTGAGACGTGGCACTCTCCTCTCTTCTCTTTCTCAGTCCTTCTGGAAGGCGACGGGTAGCGGCGTGGCGGCCCCGGCGAACGGGCAGTGTCTGGAGTGAAGGAAGGAGGAGAGATTTTTAAACTTTCTGGCACATTTGCAAAGTTACACAAGCCGTTCTGGCCCAGCCGCCCCTCTGCTATTTGTTCACGTAATGTGATTGGAAACGTGCAAGGCGGACAGCTCCTCGCCTCTGCCCCTCCCTCCCCTCCCCTCCCCGTCGTGTCCTCCTCCCCTCAGACACGTTGCACAGGGAGCGTTAAGGGGAAAGAACAAAACGGAACACACATCCTGAGACACACTCGGCTTAATCTGGGGCGAACATGCAGGAATTTCAAAAGACTCAGACAGGCAAAGGCAGCCAGGCCATGGGGCGATGCCAAAATATGCATGAAGAAAAATGCTATTAGGTCACCAGCCCTGGAGAGGCGGGAAGTCGGGAGGTGGAGAGGGTGCCGGGGGCGAGTCAGGAAAGGGGGGATGGGGTGGGCGGAGGAAAGGTTGTGACTAATTTATCCATAAGGAGTTAACCAGACTTATTTCCCAATGCACACCCCTTGCTTTTATGGGAAGCGCCCTCAGCAAATAAACCCCAAGATATCAAATTTTGTTTTTCTGTGTGTAGGTAATATGAGAAATGGATTACAAATTTATTTCCTACAGTGACTATTTTAATAACCAAAAGTAAAATTTTACAGGGAGAAAAGCCAGCTAACGCTGAAGTGATGAATAAACCTGTCTTTTCAAAATGCCGGCCTGATTTGTACTTTGGAAGTGAAGAACCATCTTTCATTTCCACAGTGTCTCTCAGGAAGTTTCAGCAAAGGGGACTAGAGCAAATTCTGCCTCAGAAAGCACTCAGAAGGCAGTTTCAAATAAGCATTTCATCTGCTTTTATTTTTTCTCTTTGTATGTCTAATGAGGTTTGACTTTGAATTTTAAAAAAAAAAAGCTTAACCATTTGTTAAATGTTGAAAAGTCAATGAAGAATCCTATGGAGTTTAATTGATCTTCCAAGCTAAACAAAGGGGTTGCTGAAGGAACAGTCTTGGGCTTCAGATTTGGGTGAAGACAAAGGAATGAGAGTGGCCAGGGGAGAATGAGTAGGAGGTAGGTCATGCTGACTGGAAAGAGATGTTTAGTGGACCAGTTGCTCATATGCCACTCCAGGTTTGGGTATCACTGGAAGTATTTCAAAGGAAAAATAAAAATTAACAGCTTGATTTAAACTAGACTTGGAACCAGGCTCATCATTGTTTGGGCCATTATCAAGATATACTTCAATATTCACCTATCACTCTTGGTCTCTGCCTCTTGATGTTTAACCGCCACATTTTGGTTGTGTCGTGAACCTCTGCTGATTTGACTTCCCAACATCCACTTCACTTTTTTTTTGGTTGGAACAACTGTGTTTTCCTTTTAGAAACTCCCCCTACCCAGTTGCATTGATGATATGAGTGCAGGACTTCAAGTTCACCACGTCAAGCGGTGGACATGAGATTCAAGCTTGGCTCATCAAACCATCTCCATAGAATTCACCTCTTGAGCAGTACACAGAGGTCAGAAATGTTGGAGCCCACTCTTCCTGCTAGTAAAGAAAGTTCCTGTGAGTTCTTGCTACACAGATTACCCTTAAGCTGTTTTAGGCCAGTATCTTCAAAGACCTGATTCTTCAGCTTTTCCTTTCATTTTCCCACTGCATTCCTTTGTGGCTGAGTGTGGTCAGTCAGTTCCTATTGTTTTCTACCCAAGAGCCCTGACTGACACTAAGGCAAAGGTAGGATGGTTCTCTTAGCTAATCAGAGCTAGTGATTCTGAATCCAAGGTGATCGATTGGACTGTTAGTCAGTCAAGCTGAAGAAGGTTTTGTTCAAAGATTTGTTTTGGTCAAAGATTCCTGGAGAAGGAAATGGCAATCCACTCCAGTACTCTTGCCTGGAAAATCCCATGGATGGAGGAGCCTGGTAGGCTACAGTCCATGAGGTCGCAAAGAGTCAGACACGACTGAGCGACTTCACTTCACTTCAGTCAAGCTAGATTTGCTATGACCCTGACCACACTCTATCCTTGGTCACAAGCAGGTGTCAGGTGGAAACTTTCTGGTATTGCCAAATGTCTTACTTACATGATGAAGATAAAAGTTCAAGGGCAAATCCCATGGATGGCAGGTCAGCCATGCTTTCCCTCTGTATGAAGTTCAGAGGCTTCTCTATCATTTTATGAACTTACCGCAGAACTTAAACTACTCAATTCCCCAAACCCACGCAGAGAAGGAATAAAAAGAAGAAGCAGGTGTATATAATTTGGATGGACAGGCCAAATTATAGGAGAAGCAGGAAGGGAGAGAGTGTAATTATCTGTCATCAGAAGAATGCTCTGTATTCACCCAGGACGAGCTCATTCCCCAGGAAAGAGAAGCCACAACCACTAGGCCTTGACCACACGTTTGCTGAGGGAAGAACTCTGCCGTAGAGTTCAGACTGTGAGAGTGGCAGGCCAGAGTAGCCCTTAATGGAAGGGTAGGAAATTTTTCCTGAATCTTGTATAAAATACTCTAGCTTCTAATCCTGGTGTTTACATAAAAAGCTGTGTCTCTTTGGACAGCTGACTTACTTTCCCTGACTCTTAGTTATATGCAGATTCAAGGATTAACCCAAATCCTTTCTAAAGCGTTTTCCCTTTTAAAACCACTGACTTTTGTGAATATCCAAGTAATTCCAGTTCCTTTCATGTAACTGGAATTTTCTGGCCACAACAACTGTATTTTCCTTTTGGAAACTTCCCCTACCCAGTTGCACGGTGGGGCTGACTGAGCTTTGTTTAAACTTCCCCCACTTCAAGTGATGGGGGAAGAAAACCAACTAAACATATCATTCATCAGCTCTTTCATTCACTATAGTTTTTCTTTATGATTATTAATATTTAATTGAATAACTCCTTTAGTTGGACTTTGCAGCTTTAGTTGTATTCAATGTGTGTGACTGTGCAGATGGTCATTTTCCATTTTTACATATTTCCCACCAGAAATTGAATATACATTTGATTTACAAATTTCTTGAATCTTGTGATACCATGAAGTGTAGTATACTATAATGGTGATTTGCACACCTGAGCACTCAATGAATGTCAGTTGATTAACTCATCAAAATTTTTGGCTGAATGAAGTCCATCTTTTTTTTTTTTATCAAATTTACTCCAACAGATGTAAAAAATTGTCAGAATAAAGCAACTAGAATAGCAATATGTACACTTTATTTTCTTTTAAACACATACGACACTGCCTTGGTGGGAGTGAGGGGGGAAACCTTTTGTTATACTTCCTAATGAATGCTTAGTTGATTTTCTTTCTCTTCCACTTTCTCTAAACTCTCTGCCTGATGACTCAGCCAGCTGAAAACAAACATGTGGCTTGCACATTGGGGAAGATTCAAAGTATTTGCAAATGCTATAAGACACAGTCTAGCCACACATTGTACCTTCTGTTCAATGACAAAACTATTATTCACAAAATTGGAGAAACAACAGTTCCTTCTACTCATCACTGAAATAATCATTAACAACTGTAACTACATCGGTACCTTTACTTTTAGCTTTAGTAAGATCCATAACTGATTCCACTTTGACCTTAAGACCTTCTTTTGTGGGCAGTTCTGCAGTATGTAGCATAAGAGGAAGAGAGACGGAATCATGCTATTTTTCAAGGTCTATCAATAGAATATCAATATCAAAAATTTAAACTGCAATGTCTGCCCCATTAAGAATGGAACATTGTTATAAGGCTGTGTTCTGATATTTGTAAACTGTATTCACATATGTAGGATGTGCTTAGTCGTTCCGTCATGTCCGACTCTCTGCCACCCCATGGACTGCACCCCACCAGGCTCCTCTGTCCATGGGGATTCTCCAGGCAGGATACTGGGTCAGTCACCATGCCCTCCTCCAGGGGATCTCCCCAACCCAGGGACTGAACCCAAGTCTCCTGCAGTGCAGGCAGATGCTTTACTGTCTGATGCTTTACTGCTTTACTTCCCACCAGGGAATCCCTATATGTGGGATAATTCATATAAATGGAAAGTCGAGTTACGCAGAAAACCAGAACACTTAGGCCTTCGTCAAAGGACCCTGAGTAGAGCTTAGAGTTGGGCATTCTTCAGTCTGGGGCTCAGGAAGCTCATAAAAATATTGTTCATTGATAGACTAATGCTCATATATGCTTTGGTAGTTTGAAAGCGTCATAGCGATTAAAATCAACAAAGACAGTGGGAAGTTGGAGATGTATAAGTGAGACATGATTGAGAAAAGAGGTCAGTATCATATCTAACACGAGGGAGATGTATTGAGAGGGGAATGAAGACACTGAGTGCATTTTTGAAAGTAATTTAGAAGGGAATACAGCATGAACCAGAAGTATTTGAACCAGTAATCTTCTTACTTGGGGTAAAATGGAGGAGAGGAGTGAGTTGGTTTTGACATGAACAATGTGCCTCTGTTCTCTTCACCTCATTCTTTTCTTCTACCACATACTACTTCCAGGTACTCACCCAAACATAAAAAGTAGACAGTTAGTACACACTTGTCTCTGTGTCAAGACTGAAATGAAAAAAAAAAAAAAAAGTCGGTAAACAGACTAGAAGAATCCCAGAAATAATGAATTTTAAATATATCTTGTTTGGTTACTTATCCCCTCAGGCCACCTAGGAAGTGAAGAAGTGGAGCTTAACCCCAGGGAATGGAAAAGTATTTTTCCTAGTGTCTTAATGCATATT